AAAAAAAAAAAAAAAAAAAAAAAAAAAAAAAACTAAAAAACTAACGAGTCAGCAAATCTGCTACGCTTATTTTTGCACCCTGTGACGTTATGCATTTTTTGTAAAACTCGTGTAACTGTTTCGGCATTTTACCGGGCGCACCCGGCTTTGTAGTTCCTCTATTGAATCCATTGAAAACTTCCCAAAGTAAAAATCCTACAGCATTCAGATCGTTTCGTGCATTGCTAAAAGCAACTTTTGGATCGTAAAAATCAAACTTACCAAGGAAAACCTACCTCACAGTCCCTAATGAAGAAAATAATGCCAAAGCAGTAAAACCTAATCAAAGTTAAATAAAGTTATAAAAACAAAGAGATTTTTTTTAAAAAGTTGTTAGCAGCTTATTACTGTGATGAATACTTCATGGCATTGAGCAAATCGTCTTTTTCACCTGAAAGGAACAGATTTGTCGAAACCGCCAAGTTTCCAGTCACCACGTTCAGTAACATAGACTGACTCCCTAATATTTTCATGACTCAAATGTGCCTCATCATGTAGGAATTTCAAACAATTCTAAAACGAGTAACTATCATCATTCTTTGAAGAAAAAATAGAGTTTTCACGGTGAAGCAGAAAACATTTAAAATTAAGTGCGTGGAGAGGCGAAAATAGAATTTTAGTAAACCTGCTGCAAAAATGTTTCAAAGAAAGCGGTTAGTTTTCTGATTTTTCTGCAGACCTTATCGCTGGTAGCAGTTTTTTGAATAAAAGAATTCAAAACATGCCATTAGTTGAAAAAAGCCCCAAGACGCCATAAGGTCTTTTTGCGAACCACTGAACTTCGTTTCTTCAATGTATAGTGCCAGGGGCATGCATGGCTCGGTAATAAGATAAAATGTGTCCTCCACCTATTAAAAAATTACTCAACAAAACAATCGAACTAGTACCTTCAGAATTCTATGTTAAAATTATACTTCTTCCGTGAATTTCGCAGAAATCATAAAAGTTCAGATTAAAACAACGAATCGCAGAAAACCCAACGTTCAAACAGGTTTTGTCAACCAGAGGTATCGTTTGTGAACAGTTAGCTTACTTCAATACTATCTAAATAGGTGAGCACGTTCGGATGCCGCATAGTTTTCAATTTTTGTGCCTGAATTTTCAAACTTGCCGCACCACCATATTCACTCGACGATGCCCAAAAGCAGGTTGCTGTTTCCGATGTATCAGCCTAAACAATAGAAGTTTAAAAAAAAATTTGTCATTTTAGTTATTAAACGCCGGTGAATGACAAACCTTTTTAAAACTTTTGCCAATCGAAATTCCATTGAATGAAGCAAAACTGATGCTAGGCAAGTCATAAGCAAAATGTGCTTTTGGATCTCTTGAAAACAACGATGAAAAAACAGACATTTCTGCAATTTTCTAAAAAAGATCAAAGCTAGAAACCACAATAAGGCAGACGTTTTGCGATGGAATGGATACACGCAATACAGCAAACAATTCCCGAATCAAATTTGGTATTTATCAAAAACGCTGTAAGGGAAATTCATCAGAAAATCAACAAATTGTAGAATCATTATCAAAATAAATCGCTTAACAAAACCGTTGAGATGATATTGAACTGGACGCCCAAGTATAACATACACTATAAAATGATTTTTTTTTTCAGTATTTCAGTGTCGGCACACCAAAATCAGCTGGTAACCACTCTGACATCAACAAGTCACAACGTCTTTATTCAAATCCGTCACTGTTGAATATGCGTTATTCATATGGAGCTACTTTTTGGCATCTATCCAATAAAGACGTTTTTCTCTTTAAGAATTGAATTGAATCTAATGACTATGGAAGTTCTGACGATTTTTTGCCAAATTTAGCTCTTAGTTGAGTCTCAGTGTTGACAACTTTCTGTGAACGGTTTTTGCTTTTCTCCTGGTTAGGCGACGTTGATCTTCTGTTTTTCTGGCATTTAAATGGAAGCAGAATAGAACTGAGTGAAAAAAACTTTTTCTCTAGAAAATGAAGATCTCCTAATTCGGAGGGTACTGTTTCATTCATTTCACTTTTGATCTCTCTAATTCGTTTTTTTTTCTCTCTTTTTTTATTGATTCTTTCTGTCTTTTTCTCATCCAACAAGAAAGAAGCAAGGCAGGGAACGAAAGTCGAAAATTAAATAAACAGTGGAAGGTGATGATCGTGCTAGAAGAAAAGACGTAGGAAACAGTGAAAAAAATGCTTCAGACTGGAAACGAAGGAAGAATACAGCGGAGAACCCAGGAATTTCGGGAGGGGAAACTAGTTAAAGAAGCAGCGGAAAAACAAATGAGAAGTGTGTTGAAGAAAGTGGTTCTCCTCTCCTCTAACTTTTCTGATCTCCTTCTGATCTCCCAAACGGAGTTTTCGTTGTTTCAAAAGGCTTCAAAGTGTCAGTTAGAAAACAGTGAATAAGAAGTCATAGAAAGCCCAAGAAGGATGAAGGTAGTAAGGTTTCAACTGAGGCTTACAAATGGTATGTTTGCAGGAAACATGTACCAGCATGAAGATAACAAATAGTTGACAGCGAGAACAAGATTGGGAGGATTACATAGAAAATTTACTTTTTGCTGGTGTATGGAAATGAAATGAGCAAGAAAGAACAAAGCCGTTTAGAATGCTAACGTCAGTAACAGCTGGAACACTTACTCGTTATATAACATTACTTTTGTCTCGAGTTCTGCTTTTTGTTCAGAATTGCTGACATTATTTTTAAAGAGTTTCAATAGACAGTTATTAAATATGGTGTGTTTAATAATTAGCAGCTAGACGGACACAATGCCAGAAATATTGAAGAATTTAGGAACTCATAAGCTAGTGTTCTGGATAAGTATGAATTTTATTTTTGGAGAAGATACGAATAAATGGCAGGTTGTAATATGCGGAATTTTTGTATGGAAAGGTACTGTAAAGTGGCAAATTGATAACTTTTCTGAACTTTTCAAGTGCGAGATGTAAGCTTAACTTTAGATAGCAGCTTTGGTCTTGTTTTTGATTATCGTCTTAAATGTTCTTCTGAAACGATTACTGTGATTAATTTGGTAATCTTACTATCTCTAGTTTGCCAGTGCTTATTATTCAGTCATTTTAAGAGATACTTTTGGATTAGATCAAAAAATGATATCATCTGTACCTCAAAGTAAGGCTGTAAATAAAAGGCGATGAAAAAACAGAAGAATAATCTCCATCTGCTTTTTTTGGCAAATACCAAAGTTGATTTTTTAGCTGGAAATAACACAGAAAGAATGTATAAATAAAGAAGCTTGTTAGAACTTTTTGGTAGAATTTTGGTGTGAACTCTTAATTAAATATTTTTGCTGGAAATTCACTTCTACTGCGAGGTATAACTAAACAGATGTACAAAATTTCTTTTATCAAGTCAAGACCAGTCAGTTAAGTTTAAAGGACTTCACTCTTTAGATAAT